ATGTTCACTACTGGGGTGACAGGTTCAATTAAAGGCCAAACCTCAGCATCACAAAATATACCCATGTAACTAACCTGCACATGTACCCACTGAATCTAAATTTTTAAAAAAAATCAATCAATCAATCATTATCCGTCATTGCTCCATCAACTCTCACCTACCAAACTAGAGCTAATGGGTGGGGTGGGGAGTAAAAGTGACAAGTAAGAAGGACCGAAAACATTTTAGAAAATACATTGAACTCAAATTGAAAAAAAAAAAAAAGAACATGTTGGATTCAGAAAAATGAATTAGAAAATTTGGAATCATTTATACCAACACATTCAGGAGATGGACAAGCAAACTCCCACTGATGATTGAGCTCCTTAAGAGTTGATACTTACACGTACAATTAAAACTAAAGTTTTTCTCACTGAACTCTGGGTATTTTGTTTAAAAATAAAATAAAACTAAAGATGTGGTGGCTTATGTCTGTAATCTCAGTACTTCAGGAGGCTGAGGCAGGGGAGACTCTATGAAGCCAGTAGTTCAAGACCAGCCTGGGTCATATAGTGAGACCCTGTGTTTACAAAATATAAGAATAAAAAAATAGCTGGACATGGTAGCATGAGCTTGTAGTCCTAGCTACTTGGGAGGCTGAAATGGGAGAACTGCTTGAGCCTAGGAGTTCAAGGCTGCAATGAGCTATAATCACGCCATTGCACTCCAGCTTGAGTGACAGAGTGACACTCTGGCTCTAAAAAAAAAAACCAAAAGTTAAGAAAACATTTTATTTAATAATAATACATAAAGCAACCTTGATATTGGCTCTTTATATTTTATTCTTTTTCTTAAGAAAAAATATTGGCCACACCCTAGGAATGAGTCACAACTGCAGTTTGAAAAATGCTGACGTTTTTCAGCAAAGGTACATGGGTATTAGTGCTTTGTGAACTTCCTCAAGGTCATATTTGTACTCTATGTTACTCGTTAAGTTCGTAGATAATACATTTGCAAAAGTGAACAGCATCTTTCCAGCCCTCTACTTGCACATTTCCTTGGCGTTCTGAATTAGAAACAGGGCAGTCATTCTCTCTAAGAGGGCCAGTGGCAGGTGGGGGCAGCTCACATATACGAGTTCTTCCTAAGTTACACATTCATTTGTTTTGGACTTGCTTATTGGTTGTCACTGTCTTCCACCACAAGAACCTTCTTTTCTTGCATCTCAGACTAATTCTTCTTGGTTTCAGTATTTATTCAGTCAGCTGAAAGTTGCTAATTTAGGAATACCAGGATAAGCAAGAGAAACTTTTTACCTGTGTGTAACTCATGGATTAGAAGAAACAGACAGGTATAACAGAGTGAGATGCTGACAGTGTTCCAGCAGTAGCGAAAGATGGGTCTAACTGACAAGGGGTGGAGATGCTTCCTTAGAAGAGATGCATTTGAAAAAGAAATGACCTAATTTTGCCTAGGGTGAGAGACGGCATTCCTGGAAGATGGAACAGCATGCACAAAGGCATGGAGGCAGGAGGTAGGGAGAACACAAAATTCCATTTGTCTGGAGTTCCAGGAGAGTGATGCGAGACGAGGCTGCTATGCACATCTGTAGGCCTGGGGAGCCCCCCAGGTGACTCTGTGCTCTCACTCTTCTCTGTAAGGAAGCAGGAAGGGGTAGGTTCATATTTCAGGGTCTCAGTTTTACTTCTTTCTACTAGACTACAGCTCTACCGAAAGTCTGGAATTGTCTCATTATCTGAATCCTCACTGCCTGGTACAGGGGCTGGTATGGACCCAATAGACATTCAGAGGAATATCAGACAATTAGTTCACCCTTGTAGCCACACTTGGCAGATATCTGAAACTCAGGTCCAGTCTGCACTCTTGTCTTCAAAATGAATAAAATAAAATTGCAGCTTTTTTGAAATAACTTAGGAAGATAAATATTCTCTCTTATTAAGAACTCTTTTCAAAACTACCCCTTCCTGGAAAGATATTTCAAATGGATTAATATCTTAAAATTATTATTATTTTACCTCCCAGATTCTACAGATAAGGAAGATAGAGATGAATACAACATAGAAGTATAAAAACGATTGACTTGTGATATCCCAGTTTTCTATTTCTTACCAGTGGCTGATGCTCAATAACAACTTTAGGATTTTGATTATTTTAAAATAAATTTATTTTGGATAAGTGTGAATGTCATCAAAGAAATAATTGCATGTTAGAGTCGGGTGATCCTCTGGCTTATCCCTCTCATCTTATAGTTAAGGAAAGTGGAGCCTAAATAAGTTTACGTAAGTTGCCCCAAATTTTCTTTACTTTTTTTTTTTTTGAGACAGGGTTTAGCTCTTGTTGCCCAGGCTGGAGTGCAATGGCGCAATCTCGGCTCACCACAACCTCCGCCTTCCGGGTTCAAGTGATTCTCCTGCCTCAGCCTCCCAAGTAGCTGGGATTACAGGCATGCACCACCACGCCCAGCTAATTTTGTATTTTTAGTAGAGACGGGGTTTCTCCATGTTGGTCAGGCTGGCTGGTCTCGAACTCCCGACCTCAGGTGATCTGCCCTCCTCGGCCTCCCAAAGTGCTGAGATTACAGACGTGAGCCACTGTACCCGGCCCAAATTTTCTAATAGACAATGAAAATCAACCAAACAGCCATGACTCAGAGCAAGTAACCTTTTTTTTTTTTTTTTTTTTTTTTTTTTTTTTTTTTTGAGACGGAGTCTCGCTCTGCCGCCCAGGCTGGAGTGCAGTGGCCGGATCTCAGCTCACTGCAAGCTCCGCCTCCCGGGTTCACGCCATTCTCCTGCCTCAGCCTCCCGAGTAGTTGGGACTACAGGCGCCCGCCACCGCGCCCGGCTAGTTTTTTTGTATTTTTTTAGTAGAGACGGGGTTTCACCGTGTTAGCCAGGATGGTCTCGATCTCCTGACCTCGTGATCCGCCCGTCTCGGCCTCCCAAAGTGCTGGGATTACAGGCTTGAGCCACCGCGCCCGGCCTGCAAGTAACCTTTTTGATGTGTGTCCCTTTAGTCTCTTAAAAATGTGTATGTGTATTCTCATACTAAAACTTATCATACTCTTTATATTTTTGGATCTTGCCTTTTTCATTCAATGTACTTTGAGGATTTTCTCCAAATTTATTCACATGTCTATTACTCACATATCCACATATTTCATGGCTCCAAAATATCTCATTGTATGGATGAACCATAATTTAAGTTGACCTCTTCCCTGCTGTTAGGTATTTAGGTTGTGAGTTTTTGTTGTTGTATTGGCAATAAAACCTTTGCATAAATCACGAGGCTTCTTTTTAGTTATTTCTTAAGGGAGAAATTACTGGTTCGACCAAAGGGGATGGACATGTCTAAGGCTTCAGATATATACTGCCAAGCTGACTAGCCCAGGGAAGTTGTACAAATTTGCCATAATCAATATGTTTCATAACATTTTAAAAATCTTAGCAACTTTAAACCTAATAGGTCAGTATCAGTAATTCCAGTTAATGTAAGAGTTCAAATTTGCCCTAGTTTTAATCATTTTTAAAAATTTATAATTTTAAAATGATAATAATTATGATGCAACCATGACTTTGAGAAGCCAAGAGATCTTATTCTCAAATTGTAAATGAATCCGTAAGCGCTAAGACAGAAGAAACAGGCTATTAAATGGCCAAAGATCAAATTTGAAATGTCCAGGAGTTTTCCTGTAGGGGTCACTGTTACCGTCAATTTATGCCTGCAAGAAAACTAAAATAGTCACACATTAAAGAATGTACGCACATTTTTAATGTCTGATTCCTCTACATTTCTTAAACTGCAAAATAGTAAGAACATGCAGCCAGATAGCATCGCGATACTAACTTCTTTGTATAATGACACATACCATTCCACTCAATGTGCTCCTCAGTTTGAGTTGATAAAATACTTGCTACTCAAATGAAAGGCACTTATGCCTGCTCTTAGTAGAGGAAGCATTATCTAATTGCCTAACGCTCCATTAGCATATAGCCTATACTGACTTGAGAAGGAAAGAACGTTCATTGCTGTGGCCAATAGGATCCCCTCTCTCCACCTTCCCTTTTCTGCATCAAAATCTACACAGACAAAAGTCAGATGTTGTAATATGCATTTTATTGTGCCACTTAAGTACAAGAAGTGCTTTTTAATTTTAAGTTTTTATTAATGCTGCTCAAACTTGACCCTGATGTTCCAGGATCCTGGCCAAGGTGTCAGTGAGGACACAATCGCAAGGCGGCTGTTAGGTTTCGGGGCTGGGCAGGAAACTTGCCAGGTGCTACCAGGAACGTGTCAGCCCTTTCTACAAAGCAGGTGTCTTTCCCATCATAAAATGCAAAGCAATCAGCCGTTCCCTTTCTCCCCAGCCCCCTCGTCCGGAGGCCGAGAGGATATTTACCCTGGGCTCTTGCAGTTCTCTTATAATTGAACCCAGCGGCGGCTCCTTCTCCGAGCTCAGAGCCACCAGGCTCGGCCCAGCCACACTTTACAGGCAAATTGCCGAGCTGACCAAGCTGGGCCAAGGCCAAGCTGGGCCCGGGCGTCCAGGAAGCGGAAGGAGCCCGTCTAGGAAACCCGGGTGTGCGTGGTGGTGAAGCTGGTGGGCAAGCTTCCACTTAAGGTCCGGGTAGAACCTCGGGGCTTTGCGTCTCGCAGCAGACGCTTGGCGCCGCTCCTCTTCCAGCCTGCTGCCGCCTTCTCCGAGCTAGTGAGTTGGCGAAACTCACTCACCTGTCAGAACCCGGGGCCTGGCTGCCAGAGCGCGCAGGTTACAGCAAACTTCGGCCTGGACGCCACAGCCAGGGAGGCGAGTTTGGGGGCTGCTCCCTGAGAAGCCAGCTCCCACCCCCTGCTCCGCGCCCCCTGCTGGTCCCCTTTCACTTCCAGGCGCCTTCGGCTTGGGGTGCCTAGAAGGCCAAGTCCAGCAGACGCCAGGGCTGCAGGTTCGAGATGCTCCGCCTCCTCCTGCCACTTAGAGCCACAAGCGCTAGCGGGAACTTTTCCACTTGGTCTTAGTCTGCGGTCACTGCTGAGGTTTTCAGAACTTTCCAGGCAAAGGCCAGCCAGGTCCTTTGCCTCCAACCCACTCCGCGCGTACCTCCCGCCTGGGGACACCCCTAGGCCCAGAATATCCTATTCCCCCCGGAGCACCGACGTTCCAACTGTCGTCTGCGCCCCCTGACTGCTGTCCGGCTCCTGTGCCAAGGGGCGCTCGCATCTTCCCGGGGCCAGCAACACTGCCAACTTCTCGACTCGCCCTCCTTCTCCCCAGAGCGAGAGTGGGGCAGGCTGAGCCCGGATCCGGGGTGCACTCGAGTGTTCCCAGCACTCGGGATTCGCCCCCGCCTCAGAGCCGACTTTCGAGGGGGAATTGAGCCTCGGAGGTCCAGGCCTGTTAGTCCAAAGCTCAAATCGGCCCCGGTCTTTCCACACCCCTGTGCCCGTCGCGTGCTGGCCGGGTGAGTGGCCGGGCCGAAGATTCGAGTGCTCGGGGCCGCGTCGCCCCGTCGGGTGCTGAGCTGAGCCCACCATGGCTGGCTGCTGCTGCCTGTCCGCAGAGGAGAAGGAGTCGCAGCGCATCAGTGCGGAGATCGAGCGGCAGCTTCGTCGGGACAAGAAGGACGCGCGCCGCGAGCTCAAGCTGCTGCTGCTGGGTGAGTGGCTGCGTCTCCGACCCCCGCGAGCCAGGCGTTCCCCTCCCGAGCCTTCCCGGCCGCTCTACTGGCCCGGACCCTCGCGGCCCTGGAGCCCACCGGAGTGCAGGACGGCTTCCTCCTCCTCCACCTTGGAGCTCATGGATGCCAGCAACTTCGGGCCTTAGGGCGTCTGTTCTTTATATCTCTGGCTGGGCGACATGAAAACGCACCCCCTTCCCGTGCCCCCAAACGAGACAGGGACCTGTAACACTTGACCTCTTGACCGCTGTACCCTATGTGTTTCGGTGTGCCCCTCTCCCCAAAACCCCCTCCACTCCTCAGCCCGCAGCACACCCAGCTTGGGGTCTATGGTGACCCACATCTTGGGTTCAGGGCTAGCTCTGACCCGCACGCTTTCAGTTCTAGATGAAGCATCTTGAGAATTTACCATGTGCCAGACCGTGCTAAGTTCTTACGGGCATCATCACCTGGTGATGCGGGCAGGTGATATCTCTATTCTAGAGAATTAAAACATGGAGGCCTGGAGAACTGACCAACTTGCCCTGATTGAGAAAAGGCAAAACCGATGCTAGGTCAGCTGTGGGGGTGAAGCCCATGCCGTTGCTGCTCCTCTGACCGGGAGCTCCTACGCCTGCCCCCCATGGGTCCCTTTGGCCAGGCCTTTGTGTTTGCAGCAGACCCAAACCTCCCTTGCTCATCTTGACTCGGTGTGTCCACGCCCTAGGATTTAGGTTGGCTGCCCTGGTGCCTCTGGCCGGTCTTCATCCAGCTCCTTTGGTCTCTCTGCAAAGGTCTGGGTAGGACACGCACTTTCAAACACAGAAAGAAAACAGTTGAAGGTTTGCCCAAGTTATGCCATGCGGTGAGGATCCCACCTCCTCAGACTTTCTAGAACGCTGTCAACATATTTGCTGTTTGAGGAACATTTTACCTTTCTTTTCAGACCATGGTATCAGCTGTCAATTTTTCCACAAAGATTTCAGCTTTTTTGCTTTCATCCCTTTTGAACAGGAATCTTCTCTTATACCATCTGTTTATTCATCTTTATTCCTTGTATAGGTGTCACCCTCCCAGAAAGCTTCAAGGAAAGAAAAAGTTGATCTAGTTAGTGTAGTATAGAGAAGGCTCTCAGCCAGTAGGGCCTTCAGACCTGGGCGGAAGAACCCCCTTACCCTTATCCCCTGGGTTTAAAGGGCCCAGTCTGGCCTTCTGGGGGTTGCGGGGAGTGTGCCCCTTCCCATAGACCTGGAAGTCTGTAGGTCCAAGGGGGCTGGCTACCCAGAGATCATGCTGCCCCCTCCCTCCCAAGACCTGGATGGAATACCCAGCCCAAAGGGCCCCATACCAGCTTCTAAGGCCTGAGCCCTAGAAAGGGCAGGCCTGATCCCTGGAGAGCTCACATAGGGGCAGCTGTTTGCTGGGGCATAAAAGAGTTTGGAAATGTGGGCTGGAGAGGAGGGAGTCCCCGTGGGTGCCCAAGAGGCCCCCCTAGGAGAGAGGGAGCTTGGGTGGGGAAGGGAAGGGGCTCTGTTCATGGGCCAGGTCTGCTATTTCTGTGTCTGGCCCATAACTCTGAAGGGTCTGAAAATTCTAAATTGTCCCTGGCCTTCTAGGCTGCTATAAAGCTACTGTTGTCAAGGGAGGAGGAATACATGACAGTTTGCTAGCTTGGTTAACACTAGAAAATAACTAGGAGGGGGACTTTTGTACTTTTGCCCTGAACCTCACAAACCAGAGGGGTCTAGTTGCATATGTACTTTTTTTAAGGGCAGGCTGAACCCTATTTCATTTTGCAATGCTTTGATTTGTCAACATGTGAAGTACAGTGTCCAGAATATACCAGGAGCTTGACAAATGCTGGCTCTCTGTATGAAAAATTGTGCAGTCAGCTGAGCCATACTGTATTGGTAATAAGCGTGTTTGTTTGATGTAAAATGCTTGCATTGACACACAAAATAGGGGAGGAATGTTTGTAGGTAAATTGTTTGCCCTGAAAGTCACATTAATCAGGGTGACCCAGGGTCTTCTTCATTTCCCCAGGCCCTTGCTCCAGTCCTCCTCCTACCGCCTTGCGGCACTGTCTGACCTCTGGACACCATTTTCATCTTGCCGAGTTGTGACTAGTACATCCCCTTAGTGAAAACTTTCCTGTGAAAAATAGTTTCCAAAGTACACGGAGCTGTTCAGAACTCCAAGGATGGACTTCAAAACCTCTGATTTATTTCAATCTGTACAGTCCTGGGGCACAGCTCCATTTCTTCTCAAGGAAGAGCCAGTGACTCAGAGGAGAGAGGAATTTTAGGGGAGGGTAGGCACTGTTTTGTCTGAAGTCATGCAATTTGAGTGAAAAATTCACCCATCTCTGGTAGGTGGATTAGAGCATCCACTGTTCAGGTGTCTCAGTTAAAAACCCCACTTTGCAAATGGGAGTTTGGAATCCTTTTGTGGAGCATGGGATGACCTCCAAAGCCACCATCTCTTTCAAAATAAAGCATGCTTTTGCAACAAAATGATTTTAGGATGTATCCGAAGTGCAGTATTCCTGTTTCTGCTTAATAAAAGCATGGGTTAGCGTCTACTAGGGAAAGATAAAAGCTGTTGTTTGGTTAAGGCTAATAATTGCAAGATGTTAGTGTGACGCCTTCTCATCAGAAAGAGAAGGAGAAAATAAAGGAGATGGTTGAATTTAGTAGAAAGAAATTTCTTACCAGTTCCTTGCATAAAAGTAGGACAAAAAAGAGTTCTGATAAGAACATTGGTGAGTACTCATCAGCATAGGGAGAAAGTGTCAGGACAATAGCTATTAAATAAGGGAAAATGAGATCTTTTATTGATTTTCCTGTTAAACGCAGATTGGTGAAGTATGGCTTGTTAATTGGGTTGAGTGTTTTAATTCTGGATGCAGACCTCACCTTGGAGCTCTCTGGAAGGAAGAGGAATTGGTATTTAACAGATACTGGCTAAATTAGTTTGCTAGGGCTGCCATAACAAAATACCACAGACTTGGGAGGCTTAAGCAAAGGAAATTAATTTTCTCACAGTTGTGGAGCTGGAAGTCTAAGAGCAAGGTGTTGGCTCAGCAGGTTTGGTTTTTCTGGAGGCCTCTTTCCTTGGCTTGCAGACAGCTGCCTTCTCCCTGTGGCCTCACATGGCCTTTCTTCTGGGCATGCACATCCCTGTCTTTTTCTTTTCTTTCTTTTTCTTTTTCTTTTTCTTTTTTTTTTTTTTTTTTTTGACACTCTTTAGGTTGGAGTTCAGTAGTATAGTCATGGCTTCCTACAGCCTTGACCTCCTGGACTCAAGCAATCTTCCCACCTCAGCCTCCCTAGTAATTGGGATTACAGGTGTGAGCCACCATGCTGGGCTTATTTTTCTTTTTCTTAGCTTTTGTTGCCTAGGCTGGTCTCAAACTCCTGGGCTCAAATGATCCCTCTGCCTCAACTTCTCAAAGTGTTGGGATTACAGGCGTGAGCCACTGTGCCAGGCCACTTCGTTTTATAAGGACGCCAGTTCCTATTGTATTAGGGCTCCACTCATTTTAATCACCTCTTTAAAGACATTATCTTCAAATACGGTTACATTCTGAGGTACTAGTGGTTGGGATTTCAACATATAAGCTTTGGCGGGAGGACTAAGTTCAGCCAGAAACAATAGTGTAGAGATGAAGAATGTAGATTCTTAGGCCAGTCTGCCTGGGTTTGAACCCTAGCCTTATAGTGTCTTAGCTGTGGACTAACTTCTCCAGGCTTTGGATGGCAGTGAGTGGTCGGTGTCGGCTATCATCACTGTTTTTGAATATCTTCAGGTCCTAGAGAGGTGTCGTTTTCCATTTTTAGTTGACCAACTATGGGTTGCATAGAAGTTTGTATAAATTGTTCTGGTAGTGCTTTAACAGAAATGTTTTGCTTTGAGTTTCCCTTAGTGTTTTCTGAGCTTAAAATCTCTCTTCCTACTTACACCAAAAAGTTGAAAATCTGGTCCCAAAAAGTTTGACTGGATTGATTATAACAAGATCCCATTTTAGAATTAGCTATCATGTTCCTGGGCAGGAAGTCCATTCCAGAAAATGGTGCAAATAATGTGAGTTTCAACATAGAAAGTGACAACACTGGCTGGGTGCAGTGGCTCACCCTGTAATCCCAGCACTTTGGGAGGCTGAGGCGGGTGGATCACCTGAGATCGGGAGTTCGAGACCAGCCTGATCAACATGGAGAAACCCCGTCTCTACTAAAAATACAAAATTAGCCGGGCATGGTGGCATATGCCTGTAATCCCAGCTTCTCAGGAGGTTGAGGCAAGAGAATTGCTTGAACCTGGGAGGCAGAGGTTGCAGTGAGCCGAGTTTGTGGCATTGCACTCCAGCCTGGGCAATAAGAGCAAAACTCTGTCTCAGAAAAAGAAAGGAAAGAGACAGAGAGAAAGAGAGGAAGAAAGAAAAAATGACAACACCTTCCTACTCTGTGAAGTAGGAAGGAGAAAAGGAATGAAATGGTAAATATGCCCGCGTTCCTTTATCTGAGCTTAGTTCAATGCAACATCCTTTTCCAAGGTGCCAGCCACAGTGCAGGGATTCCTTCCCAAGGGCTGAGTTGGAGAAGGACAGTTCACAAATAGCTGTTATGAGGAAGATGGACATAAAAGCTTAGATTAAGAGGTGGAACAGGCAGAGCATAAAGGGGGAACCTCTGGAGGAGGCATCATCTGAGTAGGCCCTGAACTATGGGGAGGGTAAGATGCAAACTATTGTCTGCGCGTGGGGGCTTGGGAGAGACATGCAAAAACTCTCCTCACCATCTAGGGAAATTTCTGAGGGACAGTAAATGGTGTTCTAAGGATCTGGGATCATATGAAGGATCCCTTGGGGGCCAGATTTCATTGAGTTTTTGTGTTTTGTTTTATTTTTTGTTTGTTTTTGAGACAGTCATGCTCTGTTGCCCAGGCTGGAATGCAGTGGCATGATCATGGCTCCCTGGAACCTCACAGAATCACAGGTTCAA